GGCCTCATCATTTCATTAGAGAGAATCTCTCTTTCATTTTAGGATTGCTCTTTTAGGAAACAGTTTCATTATCTGAACTAGCTGTTGCCCCTCTTGTTGATAAATTCTCTTTCTGTAATAGGATGTGTATCTGTTGTCTTTTTTTATCAGCTACCCCTAAATGACAGTGAGGATGTATTTGGGTGGTGGATTGACTGGGAGGTTGGTTGTTTTTTTTTTTTTTGCTTTAATAACTGCAGGTGAGTCAGTCACCCAGGATTTCAAATTGGTCCTTGTTTTTAAAGACCACCAGGTAGATGTATTTCTAGCACTCACATATCTGTAGAATTATCTGGGAAAACTCGTTGGTGAAGGATTTCTTTTTTCTTTTTTAATTTAAGTGCTAGCAGTTGCATTGAGCCCAACAAGTAGCACTACACAAAATGTCTCTCTTGGAATATGTCTTACTTTTTCTAAACCTAGTGTTGGGCCCATGAAATACTCTGAACTGCATGGAGTAAAAATGTAATGCAAACACCAGGTAGTGATGGTGTCATTATTTATATGTTTTTGCAGCTAAAATGTAGAACACTAGAAGTATTTAAGGGGAGGCTCAGCTGAGGTTCATTGACTGGAGAAGAGTCACCTAGCCAGGCTGTGAACACATCCAAGTGTGGCAATGGCAGGCAAGATGACAGGTTCATAACAGTAATGGTATACAATAACAATATACTGATGTTATGACATACAGTATACATGTAAACTATTATAAAAATTATATGATTTCCTCATGTATTATTTTTTTGTTTACCTTTGAAAGAATGGGCAAAAAGGTTAGGCCTTTGGAACCTGCAAAACAAATTAAGAGTCAGGAATCTTCTGAATGCTATGGTAAACAAAAATCAACTGAGTCGAGACAGAGAGTCTGTGTACAAAGAGTATGTAACCATGGCCATACTTGGCTTTTTGATCCAGTTGTCAAAGAACTTCCTGACAAACAGTTTGTGTGTCTGTGCTTCACCTTTGTGAATCCATTTGGAAATAGTGTGATATGGTGATTGATAGCGTAAGTTATGCAGCCAAGTTCAGCCGGTTTGAATTCTAGTTCTGCCACTTACTACCTGTGTATTTGAGTTACTGTGTGTAACTCAAAGCCTCAGTTTTGTCATCTGTGAAATGGGAATAGGAATGTTACCCACATCATATGATTTTAAATATCATGCCACAATAATGCACATAAAACATACGGTGCCTAGCCCTGGCTGAGTGCTAACTAAATGTTGGTTATTACTATGAGTTCAGTAAAGTATGAAAAACTAGAAATGATTGTATGTACAGAACTTCCCAGAAAGTCATGGTCATTTCATTGGTTTGAAAGGTCATAGATACCTACCCATATCTTGTAGGTATTTATAAATGTTATTCTTTTATGTATATTTTTGTTTAAGGGCATTTATTTATAATCCCAGGAAGAAATTTGAGGGGTGTGTAGCATAACTACATGTGATTTGTTATAGGGCGGTGGCCACAAGACTTGGGATTGGGAGATATTGTTCTTTTCTCCAGGTGGGTTAGACTTTTGATCTCTCAATAGTTACTTGCTTCAAAGCTCTTGTTGCACAAGTCTGTCTATTCTTGGAGATCAGAGAGGTCTTGGTTTTCAGAGGCCATTGGAGTTGGGGTCTAAGATACTTTGCAGAGTGGAATAGGTCTTAGGGAATCCTACATTATGGTTGTGGACTGTGGAGTTCCCTGTAAAGAGCACTCAGCCTTCTCTCTGCATTTGCTTTATAAATGGCTTGTGAAATCTCTCGTAGTTTGACTTAGTCTTCACTTCCACCTCATCCCTGTAAGTATAAATACAAATAAAAAGTAAGATGTGAATCAGACGTTTTCATAAACAAAAGTCATCTCTGGATACTAGCAATAAATAAACCATAATGTCCTGCAAAATTAACCTATGGCTGTTTCCTGAGCTAATTATCTTCCCACAGTAGAAACGTTACTGATTCTAGGTCCACTGGTTTTTTTTAATTTATCTTCCTCACTTTATTTTGGTAAAATTCAGGAAATTCTCAAATTGGATCATTTCTCAAGTTGTGCATTATCAAATATCAGAGTAAAACTGTCCAAACACCTCCTCTTTCCACATGCAGTTCCAATTTCCTGAAGCGAATTGATTCTTTTTAATTACACTCCAAGAACTAGATTTTGCTACTTAGCCTGAGAACAGGTATCTCATATTTCTTCCTTCTGAGTTTGAATGCAGGAGGCTTCCTGAATCTGCCAGAATACAGGTGCTTAAGGTATAGGATCTATGTAAATGTTCCCTGTTCTATTATAATTATTAAATTTTTAGTGCTAAGGTTCACTAGGGAAAATGTGGATCTCCCAATGATCAGAATTTCTTGCTTGATATTTCTGGAAGAACCTTGCCCTGGTGATAGGTAACATGAGACACTGACTTCTTTTCTTTTTTTTCTTTTCCCTAAAGGGGAACATGAAACTTTTAACTATGTGTCAATGTTGTTTTTAAATTACTAGGTTAATTTAGATATTTTCATCAAATCCAAATGGGCTCTTTGGTGTCTCGCTGTTTACTCATGACAAAACAAAACATATATGTTCACTTGGGAGGATTCTACTTTATTACAAATAAGTGTCTAGAATGTCTTTTTGGACCAAGATTTCTTGTTGTTTTTGCCCTTCACCCTAATAACTAGGACATCACATCTTAGGCAGAGCTAGAACATCTTCTGTTAAGACTGGCATTCAGAATTATCCCTTGACTCATTTTCTGATTTCCCTGACAGTAGTGCATTGTCTCCTGAATGATCATGTAAATTTAGTGTTAGTCAGCAAAGGGTCAAATCATGCTATTTGTTTTAGAAGCAAAACATCCTGCCTCCTGGATTCCACCAAGCAGCCTCCCTCCCTTTATTGAAAGTTTCTTGCTTTATCGGGTTCTAAAATTGGTTCATAACAAGAGCTATATCCTAATAAAATAATTGTTTCCGTTGTTCTCGTAGTTTTGTTTTTTCTGAGACAGAGTTTCACTCTTGTTACCCAGGCTGGAGTGCAATGGCGCGATCTCAGCTCACTGCAACCTCCTCCTCCTGGGTTCAGGCAATTCTCCTGCCTCAGCTTCCTGAGTAGCTGGGATTACAGGCACACGCCACCATGCCCAGCTAATTTTTTGTATTTTTAGTAGAGATGGGGTTTCACCATGTTGACCAGGATGGTCTCGATCTCTTGACCTCGTGATCCACCTGCCTCGGCCTACCAAAGTGCTTGGATTACAGGTTTGAGCCACCGTGCCCGGCCTGTTCTCGTATTTTTAAAGTTCATATAGACAGTTTTATTTTCCAAAATTCAAGTTCTTTTGTTAATGTAACTTTACCATGCAGTCTAGATCCAGTCTTACCCCACTCTGGAAACTTTAAAAAAAATGGCAGTACTTACTCTCCTCTTATTTTTAATCTGAGAGCATAACAGAAAAAGTATCAGAACTCAATAGTACTTTTCTTTCCCCATTTCTTTCATATTCAAGCCACCAGATAAGAGCTGTGGCTGAAAATTTAGCAAAAAGCTTTGCTATCTACCACTTCTTAATAGCTTATTATGCACCAGGCACAAGGTTAAGTACTTGGCATTATTTTAACTGATTCAATCAGTACAACGAAGTAAAGCATCCATGTTTTAAGTGGTGATACTAAGACTTTCAGAGGTTAATTTCACATAGATAGAAAATGAAGGAGCTAGATCCCTTCCTACTAGAAGGCACCCTGACCACTCTAAAATACACAGATGTGGTGAGTATGATGGGAAAAAAATGTAGTACAAAGTGAAGAACATACAGGCCCTATCATGAAAAATTAGATATAATTAAGATATTAAGTTCTCCTTCTGCCTGAAAGACCCCAATGTCCATACACCTCCAAAAGAGAGTACAGAAAGACTACCCCAAACCCCATCACACCTCAAGGCAGGTAGTGAGTAATTTTCTCCTCTTCTCTAAATATTCTCTCCCATCCTTTGCAAATATGACTGGTGAAGTGAAGGTGGCTGGTGAGAAACAAATAAAATGGCTGCACACACTGCATGAAAATTGCCATATTTCCTAGTTAAGTGAAAGATCAGCACACTTCAGAGTTCAAGACTGAATCGAATAAGTATCCTGATTAGAATGGTATGCATGTGCTAAGTCAAACACCTTCGAGTATATACATAGTCTATGGAAGGGAATAAAAGTCTTTATGTATGTACTTGGATCTGTTTTCTGTGTGTTTATGATTATCATTGCAGTTCTCCAATGAAAGTGTCTCCTACTCAGTAGTCTCTTTTGTGCTCTTCAGTGCTAGTAGCCATAAAAACTAGGTATCTAATAACACAGTATAACAACTACCCATTGTAAATTAAGAATACTGTTAGAGCTGTCTGTGCCTTGGAGCCAATCTTTGGGTTCTGTACCATATTCTCGTCCTTAAAAATGCTGAAAATTAGGATGCTGTTTCATTGAGATTTTTCCGTAGCCCACATATATATGTGTAGAAGGTTAAACATTGCTAAGTTCTTTTGGTAAATTGCAACTCAATTACCTAACTATTTGATGATTCAAGAAGAAATGTTCCAGAGGCCTTCTGTTTTGATTTTAGCTTACTGTAATCTTCTGATGATGATGCACGCTTTTATACAAAGTACGACAGTGCCATAGTGGGCAGCCATTTTGTTGAGGAAACTGGAAACACTCACCCTTTTAAAAACTAAGTTACCCTGACTACAATCTTATTATTTCTTCAGTTCAAGGTTACATTTTCTGCCTCCCACAGACTAATGTCACTTCTCCATGTTGAGAACAAGAGCGGCATTTGGCATTTGGTTATCCCAAACCCAAATCTCTGACCCTTTGTTTTTAGTACTTTGCCATCTTGATTTTGCTTTTTTAATTTGCTTGTGACTCTCTGCTTCCCCCATCTTTTTTTTTTTTTTGGTACAATGATTCTTACCTTGTCTTTCCCCAGTCCGTTTCTGACCTGGAGAGACGTACAGCATGTTATTGTCAGGACTTCCCGTGCGGGACATTTGAACGCTAATGACTGGAAAACCAATGCTGCTGGTTTTAAGGGTGAGAATTTCTTTCATATTCTGTCACAGGCAAAATATTTTTATTTTTCCCCCATTTTAAATGGAGGTCAGGAAATAGAGCCCCTTAAACGAAACTTTAAATTTTGTGCTGACACACAAAGAGCTTGATCTTTTAGTAAATAAAAGGCAGGTCGATTTTTTTTAAGTTAAAACTACACAGATAAGGCAGATTTCTTTGGCTTCCCACATCATAGGTCAGTTTTTTAAAAAAATCTACCAACTCCCACATAGAGTCGACCTATGGACCCCTGGTTAGTTTACTATTTGCTGTCATTGAATATCTAAGTGATATTTATAATAATGTATTTTAAAATTCCTCACCATCTGTAGGACTACTTCCACTTAAATAATAACTGATATATATTGTTCACTTTAGTGTAGCACTGTTAGTTGCTAAAGCCATGCATTCTACAAATTTTGTTTTTGTTTGTTTGAAAATCTTCCACAAACAGAAAAATAGGCAATAATTCTAAGAAATGTGACTTTATATAAACTAAACATTCTGATGAAGCTTTATAATGTCCAGTCTTTATGCAATTGTGCACAATATGTAACGAGTACTGAATATTTTCCCATGGCTAATACAGATCATACTTCCCAAAGTCTTATTAACAGTAGCCATTCTATTTGTTGTCATAGATAATATATGTTATAATAAAAATAAAACAGCTGTATAAAACATATATCCTAAAGTTTAGTATATTTACTCAAGTTGTAAGTGACCTGTTATAATAAACTCGTAATTCATTAATCTAAATTATAACAAAGATTAATTTGTTTATGTCTGCAGACTTAAAACATATTCCCAAATAATCTTAGAATCATCATATATCTGTATGGATGAAATACAGTGTTTCACGGCATAGGGCACATCTACTTAAAAATTGAAGTTCTGATGGTCAAACCACTGGTAACATGGTTATGAGCAAGTCATTTATTTTTTAAGGGCCCTAATAATTTAAACATTTTGGAGGCTAAGTAATATTATTTACATATCATATCTTGCATAGGATCTTAATATATCCTTGTATATTTCCTTATATGACCAATATATGCAAATATTTCTGCCAGAATGTATATTTTTTAATTATTTGAAAATGATTTATTATAGACTCATGCTAAAACAAAACATATAAATATCCTAGATAACCAGTGCCACATCAGTAGTTCTTTGATTAATATCTTCATTGAAGGCTTCACTCTACTTTTAGGAAAAGAATATTTCTCTGCTTTGGAATATTATCAAACACCTTTCCATGCATGTAAACTATATAATGCAGCAGTGTTCAATGAACTTTTAATCTACAGTTGTGAATACCTGTTGGCATTGCATTCTCTGAAGCCCAAATCAAGACATTTGATCCCAAAATTGTAATTGTATGGGTGACATCAAAATTATTTAAAATTTCAGTTGTTCCAGAAGATCCAGGATGTAATTTGCCATATGTATGTTTCATTTTGATTAGCTTCCACATGCTCCCAGCTCCTATGATATAAATCCATGAGGCTACAGGGGAGAGAAGGGGCTGACACATAACCTTGGCTGGTTGAAAGCTGGAATGAACTTCTTAGTAGAAGGATCACAGACTAAGGATGTTTACCTCCATGAAGCTGAGGAAACTTTAACCCAAATAAATGGCTTAGTTTTACTTATTCCTTTTTGGCAATTTAAAAAGAGCAAGGTTCTAACAAAAATGCAGTTCTTTTGAAAACCTCTGTTGGTTTAGGAGAGGAGGAAACAGAATTTAGTCTCAATCACCAGACCCAAACTTGAATCTGAAGGGGGCTGTGCACTGCTTCTGGCAAGGAGGAAATGGTGTTTTACTATGCACGTGGCAATATTTAGTATAATATTTCACTCTTCTCTTAGATGGCTGCCAAGAGTAACAAAGTTCACTTTTTCACAGATGAATTATTCTGAATGGGCTGGGCTCCCAGTGGGATTGTTTTGTAATTTTGTTGATAGCCAGTCCCATATTTCATCTAAACAGGATCATAATAAGATGACTTTAAAAAACAGAGTTATTTTCTTCTCTGCTCTAAACATTACCATCCCCTCCCTAGAGTCCCACAAATAAATGTGATTGAGGCAGAGGCTAGCAGGGGAAGCAACATGCTTTGAGGAAGTGGAGAATACAGGGCACTAGGACTGCGGACAGATGGTATGACTTTTATGAAACGGCAACTAGAAAGAACAAAAAAGGGCTAATGCTTAGAAAAAGTTCCCACAACAAGAGCTCAACAAAGGCTTGTATTTAGATTAGGTCAGCCAGCTTTGCAGGTCTTGCTTAGCAGGAATCCATAGTCACGTTTCTCCGTAGAATGGAGAAAACGGAAATTGCCTGCCTACAGAAACGTGTGGTCTTGGGTGCCCTCCTTTGTCCCACTCAACTCAGTCCTAACATTGAGTGAAATATGTGCATGAAACGAATCTCAAAACACCTGTTCTTCCTTGGGCTTGCTTTTGTGTCCAAGTGTTGAGTAATTTATCAATAACTTGTTCAAAAAGGATTTTAAAAAAAAATATGAGAGCAGTTTCACAAATTGCTCTATAGGTACCTGTCAGTAATAGGGACATCAGTGCCCCCATCAGAATTTCTTTCTCATCAGGTAAAGCAGAAGCCACTTAGAGTAGCAAACAACTCAGTTTTGGAATTTGGACATTGCTAGACTTGACAGTCTTTGTTATCACTGATAACCTCAGGAAAGCCACACCCCAATGAATAGCCTCTACAAAAACCCTACCAAATCCATTTTATACAACCTCCTTAGGTTTCTTCAGACATACCCCCATGTCCTACATCCTAGGCAGACAGCAGGGCTAGATAATGTACAAACTAGACTTTTGTTTTGCCCTCCTGAAGGCAGACTTGATCTGTCCGTCCCCACATGTGTTGTGGACTGGAACAGGGATCCTCCTGAAGCAGCTGCTGGCTTGGACAGGTTCTCATTCAGGCTAGGAAGTTGGCCTTGACAATTAAAGAATGTGGCTCTCTGATGACTCATCCCTGTTTCTCAGAGAGTGGGATTACCCTGGAGTTGCTCACTGATGAGCTAGGGACAGAGAACTTTCTTCTCCTTCTTCTGTGCCCTCCTTATAAAAGCACTCTGTAAATGACCCTATAATGAGATGACCTCACAGAGAGGGAAGCCACATACAAACATTCTTATGCTAATGTACCTTAATTTTCAACAATTTTAATCAAACTAAGATTACTCTGTCCTTCTGCTTCTTAAATAATAACAGTCTCTTATAGTATAATTAAAATATCTTTTCCAGTAGATTAGTTTTTCAGAATAAACATAACCTGCTGAATACATACCTATGGAAACTGACTAAAATTGTTTTGCCTTGCTCGTCTTGTGAATAATCCTAGCTAAGTTTTAGACAACAGCTTTTGACTTTAAACCTCCTCTAGAGATATTTTTTAATTAAATGGAACAAATACCATGTACCTATCAAAGAATCTTCTTTAGATTCCACATAAGAATAGGAAATTATTTGCCTTAGACCAGACGAACAGATACGATATTCTGCCACTAGAGAACTGAAATCCAAATTCCAGTATTTTGCTCCTGACCAATATTTGCAATGCTAGTAGGTGTCTTTGACATTAAGTTGTTTGGGATTTTGTTAAAATTAGTTCTTTCCTCTCTTGATCCCTTCCCTTTCTGCTTATAAAAAGGCTTTCTGTTTTGTTTTGTTTTGTTTGTTTTGTTTTGTTTCTCTTCTTTTTAATTCTCCTTTGTGTTCCTTAAAACATATGAATTAGCCATAAAGGTGAAGGCTTTTGCCATTCCAGGTGGTTTTTCTTCCTGGAATTTAATGGATGCTATCTCTTCATTTATTTAGCAATATTTCATGAGCACCTTTAGCATGCCAACCCAGCACATGTTGAAAGCCCAGAAAGTTGGGGGATGAGGGGAAGAAATGTCAGGGACACCATGGCGTTGACTAATCTGACCTGCCCTGGTGTAACTTACATGCAGAAACAAAAATTTACCCTCCACCTAGTTTTCTTAAGTCAAGCCCCAACAATCTGCCAGGTCATGTTAGATAAATATTGGTGATCCTTCTCTTATCGTCTAAAATTCAGGTTAATGTCAGCATCAGAGGGCATCTGCTATGGAGAGTATCTGCTGTGGTGTCTGTTGTGTGTTTTGACCAGCTCCATTTGGGTGTAGAGTATATGCAGATCCATAGAGCCATGCGGACAACTTTAATTCTGGCATGTTTCATAACCCGTGGCTTGTATCATTTCAGGAAGAAGTTAGCTCTTTCTTGTGATCTCCTCCCTTTTGCTGCTATAATCTGAGGAAACTGCATATCTACCGACCTTCTCTCCCACCAGTGCCTGAGATGTGCAGGCTGATTCTTGCTCCTGAGTCCTCATCTTTGGTTTGGGTGTGCAGTTCTAATTATAATTGAATGCATGCAACATCAGTGATCTAGTTTTTTTTTTTTTTTTCAAAGTGTTTATATTGGATTATATGACTGTATACAGTTAAACTCTCTTAAATCCAGGAACAGGAATAGACGTCAGATAATAAATTAGGACCTTCTGTCATCTTTACTAGGCGAAAGAATGAAAAAAATGTCATTGAAAATCAAAAAATGACAACTAAGTGAGAGAGGTTACCACGCCTTCCATTTCACTGCCCTCCCAGACTATGTAAGTCTCTTTTTTTCTACCAGCATGTTGCTGAAACCTCCCCTGTCCCCACTGACTCTTTCTTTGACCACAACTAAACCACTAGATTTTTTTAAATTTCTAACTGATTACCCACCGTGGGGAAAACAATTGACAGTCTAACATGACAGCCTCCGAGGCCTTAACTTTTAATAACCTGTGTTACTTTTAGTTGCTGTCATTTTATTTCTACTGGTAGGGTTGATAATTTTAAGATGTTCCAATATTTTTTAATACCTACCTGTCTTGCTTTCAGTTTGTAACACGTATTTAAAAGAATTAGAAGTGC